GCCTTCTGTGTCCTAAGCCTCTGGCTGCTTCATAACATAGGCAGTTTATGTACCTTCTGCCAGCTGATTCCTTCTCAAAGGTGATGAGCTTGAGCAGACTGATGAGAGGGAGCTGTTTAAATGACATCAGAGAAAAAAGCAAGAGAAAAAGAGGAAAGAGAAGGATATGTCATGGAAGATTCTCTGAATTTTTTAAGAAGTGTAACCATAATGTTTTCCAACAGGGACATTAAAAAATATCCATCTTATAGTTTTTGAGAAATTCTTTATTTTTTAAAGACTGAGGGCAATTAAAGTTTTTCCTAGGATGCTGTCCTTCCTACTCCCATAGGTGTCAGCCAAAAATGCAGGAAGAACCAATCCTGTAGACCTCAACAGGCTTACAAAACACTGATCATCTGAAAATTTCAACAATTCAAAGCCTCTTGGGCTTCTTCAGCCTTGCGTGTCTTCCAAGGAAGCATCCCTGAATCTGAGATTTCAGCAATGTGGAATTCGCAAATTTTGAATTCCTGAACAAGGAAGCCCTCCACAGCAGTGCATGAAACTTCAGGCTTTTGGATCATGGTTTACATTCCTGCTGTTTCTCACCTAGTTGGAGACACTGCATTAGAAAAACCCTGAGTATAAATAACTCTTCAACTCCAATTCAGTCATTGTAAGTCTAGAAAGGTTGTATTTGTAAAAATAGGTTTAACTTCAACTCAGAGGCGTTTATTTTCCTGGCACTTCTATAGAACTCAACATTCTGAGTTGATAGCATTTGCAAAGATAGTACAAAGCCTTCACTCTCTCCTTTCTACCGAAAGGAACCACTGTCATAATGCTAACACCTTATGTGGACTGCACCAGTAAGAGGAAATGGGGCATAACAGCACCTAGTGAAATGTGATGATGGAAAAGGCTAACAAACGTAAATGCTACAGGTGGTCATATAAAAGAGGATTGAATGCAACCACTGTAACATTGTAACTGAACTAAACCAAATATACATTGAAGTGGCATGGAGAAAATCAGATACAACTAGGCCAATTACTTGGCACGTGTGGATGCTGTCTAAAGAATTCAGCTAAATGGGACATTTTGGTTATTCCCTGTTTCTTATTTAGACCTCAGCCAGGCTGAAAACGATGCCCTACAAGTGGTTCCTATTTATAGGAAGTAAATCTGTCCCCAAATCTGCATCTTTTTAGGGTGGCATGACCAACATACACCAAATTACTTCAAGGTATACACCTTGCACTTGCAGCATTAGCTGGATTTCTGAAGGAAAAAGCCTCCTGGAAAAGGCAGCTTCAAAATCTGGGCAGAGCTCCATAGGAGATCTGCTGAGTCAAAGCATGTTTGATTTTCTGTTTCTGCTAGCAGCCAGATTATCAGCACACATGCACTCTTCCTGAATAAAAACAGAAACTGTTTGTCCTTGTGAACTTCTGAAAATCTGTATCTATAAAGGAGAATACTGTTCAGTGCTGTGACTACTGCCACTGGCATTTTCTTCAGAGGAAACACATTCAGAGATTGACCTGAAATTGAAGGGATATACTCTTCAATTATTTTATCCAAGTTTTTAAACATTTAGACTAACTGCTGATAAAGTCTTAGATGATACAAAAAATATCCAAAGGGCAAAAAATTATTAAGGACCTGTCAATTTTGTAGGTCAGTCTGCCAAGCCAGGCTCATTTAAACAGCTTCTGTTGTAGTACCTGTGAAACCATGCAGAGAACATCGCTATTCAGAGAACGCGGGTTAGTACGACATACCCTAGAAGGAAGAAATTCTGAAGTGACTGAACAATTATAGGACACAAGCACTACCAGTGTATTCTTAGCATCATCCTCTGGATGAGACTTAAGGCAGTAAATCACTGGGTGTGCATACAGCAGAACTATCAGAAGTACTAACTCAAGACTTCTCATGCCAAAAGTTTTTGAATCTCAAAGAAAATCTCTATTTGTTGTTAGCATCATTTGCAATCTTTAAGGTTTTTTTATTTTAATTAGGGAGGGTAAGATATGAGGGTTTCCTGAAGTTTCTGCAGTATGGTTGAAATTTATTTGACCTTCAAGTCATTTAGCTAAGCTTTTAGACAAAATCCTTTCTCAGTCTCACAGAGTGGTGGACAAATGCTTGGCTACTATACTGTTGTATATATTGCTAATAAGTTTAAATAAAATTACAGATACTGATTTATTTTTAATAGAAAATGTTACAGAATTTCTCACAGCTGAATAGATTCATGCTGGTGTCTAGAAATATGACTATCCATCTGTTGTTATAAAGGAGAAATATCAGCCAGACTTCAGACTGAAAAAAATGCCTTTCAATATGAGTATAACCACTTTGAACTGACTGCTTTTTAATCCCAACACACATTTTAAACCAAATTCCTTTATCCAAATTTAAAAGGCATCTGTAGATTCATTGTCCTGACTGCAGTCCAGTTTCTAGATCAAGCCTTGAAACTGGTGATTTGAGCTTGGATTTGGCCCATTGCGCACATATACAAAATGGCACCATTGCCTTCAGAAGCACATTAATCACAGAGAAACCCATTTTAAGCCCCAGAGAGGCTTAAAAGCTCCTGCTCCCTCCCCCCATGTCTTTCACAAATGCACAGACACATGTGCATAGCCATGCTTGCTTCTCTGCAGCATTGGTAATTGCGAGTTTTCTTTAACTTCTCTCACATTCAGAAGCAAGCTGTAGTTTCATAATTACTATCAAAATTGGAGCATGGGCTAATCAAAATCAATTATCAACTGTGAGATGGGAGGAATAAAATGGAGGAAGAACAGCAGGGTAGCAACTGGGCTCATGAAATTAAAAATAAAAACCCCAAGAAAATCTATGTCTCATCCTGACAAGTGAGGCACTCCGCCTCTCTGTCATCCCTTTCATCATGCAGATGACTGCTCAGTAGCTCTCAGCACTTAATAATGCAATCCCTCCAGTCCACCACATTTTTATGGTAGCTGCCAACTGTTTGTACAGCTTCTAGATAAAAATGATAGAAAAATAGTATTTCACAAACCTATTTAAGAACTCCATAGCTTTTAAACATTTCCTTGTTTCATTTTACAGGGACTTTTTTTTTATTAGTTAATATGAAGCCTAGTTACTTTTCACCAGGAGACAAAGAATGCCGACCATACCAGATTAGGAAACTGGAAGACAAACAGGTGGGAAAATTAATGATAAGTACTCATATTTACACTTGCTCTAAAGAAACCTTTGTGTCAGAGGAAGCTAGATAATACATGGCATGCCATCTGGTTTGCCCAGAGATGGGGCAATGAGATTTGCAGATTACAGCTGGTCCTAGACAGTCATTATCACCCAGTTAACCCAGTGCTTGAACAGAATCAGCCCATGGACAAAGAACAGAAGAGGCAGAGCAAGCACCCACAACTGCAGACTCAGCTGGGAGGCCGGGTGTGCTCCTCAATTCCCTGTTTTTGCTAAACTTTCACAGCAGCATCTATGAATAAGACTTTCAGCTACCTCCTGTTAGACAGGGGATTCCCTTTCATGGTGTTGAACAGAGCAGTACTCACAACTGTGTAAGAGCAAGCACTCAACGTGATGCCTCCAGCTTGTACAAAATGGGCAGAACATCCCTTTGGCCTAAGAAGTCACAGTGAGCAAATCTGTCTTCCTCTTTGAGTATCAAGCAGAGACTCCTGTCAGATACATTCAGTTGTCCAAAAGCCAGTTGTCTAGTCTATGCTAGTCATATAAGCTTATCGATTTTCTAGTAAATGGAAAGAGATGCTCGTAAGACCAATTTGGTGTAGAGTTATACTGATAACTGATGGAGACGAAAAGGTGGAACACACTCTGGAGCTGCCCCTTTCCCCTGGAGGAGTGTGAATGACTACATCCCTAGCGTTTACACAGGAACTGTTCGGCAACCCAAGATCCCATTTCTTGTAAAGAAGAATCAAGCTAATGTTCTCACTTCTTATTTTCAGAGTGGTGCAGAGAAGCAAGGTGCTCCTTGGGTTCAGTAACACTTTCTACCACAATAATAAGTAGAAGAGTGTGAAACAGAGAAAGTTTTTTTTCTTGGAGACTCTGAGGCTGAGCAACAATTCTTGTTAGAAACAAGCATTACAGCATCACCGCCTTTTATTTTAAGTGTGTGTTTAAGTGCCTGTCCTGAAAGAAGTACACAGTAGTGTGTATCTTAAATTAAAAAAAAAAAAAGACCAAGAATCATACTGAACAAATCACACAAACTCTGAACAAAATCCTCTGTGAAACACAGTTCTCCCATGGGAACAGCATACAAGACAGCACATGGGGCACCCATGACAAACGCTATTCATATCACTCAGAGCACTGTTGGAGGATCTCAGATATTAACATAACTTGTAAAGGAAGAGATCACTGAGATGAACTCCAGCTTTCCTTTTGGGTCAGCTTTACTTAGAAAAGCCTTAAACTGTTTGGATCCTGATTGACCCATGTCTGATTAAAATGGCACACTTTTACAGAGACATCTTGACTTTCACATAATACAAGGTAATATATCTTCCAGCCATTTTAGGTTCTGCTATTCTGATGAAGTTTGCTCATCATTTTTACACTTGGGGCACAAGACTGACAGCATAATGTATAACCAGCTAAGTTTAAAAGCAACATGATGAAAAATTAAATTAAAAGACAACTTCCACACATGGTATCTCATTTTTTAGCATGAAATATGGAAACACTTTCTGGTGTCTTAGCAGTTAGCCTCCACACTAGCATGTTGCTGGTTTTAGTAGTATGAATAACGTGCATTAATCAAAGTCACAGAAAACACAATTGTTACAATGATTTCTGAAGCATTCATTGTCTGTCCAGAAAAAAACCACCATATATTTGGGTATAGGAATGCTTGGGCACTGTATTTGGAAATAAATTTTCCAAAATAATTTATACTGTCACAGCAGGTGAGTGATATCAAATATTCTCTGTGCTATTTAATATGAAATCCATGTTTTACTTACCAATCCTGCACAGCATTGAAAGACTCTTCATTTGTGATGTCATACATTAAAATGAAGCCCATTGCACCCCGGTAGTAAGCTGTGGTGATTGTTCTGTATCTCTCCTGACCTGCTGTGTCCTGAAACAATAACAAACAAAATTTTTACATGTTGCAAATAAATTGAAAATTGCTATATTTTTTTTCATAAAGGGAAAACTGATAACAGTTACTGTACAACTCTGCAATCCTACTCACAAAACTAATCAAGGGGGAGAAAACTGAGAATAACAGGAAAAGGAGAATTCTGCATTGGATGACAATAGGAGGGACACATCCATTCTGTCATGAGGTGAGAGTGGAGAGAAGCAGAAAGGCATGGCCTTCTGCCAGGACATACATACTGAGTCATTCACCGATCCATGTCATTTGACCTGAACGTCAGGTAAGAACCTTCGGTCCTGCTCCTGCCTTGTACCCTCCCAATGTGGCAGAGGGGATATGTAAAATCTCATGTCTTGGATAAAATGCTGGGATAAAACAGCATCCTTAAGATCTTCATTATAAGATCAGGATGGTTCCTGAAGTCCAGAAACATCCTGACCAAAAAGGCAATGTCTAATCATTCCGTTCTTCCGATTTTAAGCCATTGATGCTCATGTCAACTCTAGCACCAATACAGATCTGTGCTGACAAAGGCTGAAAAGCAGGGCTTTTACAAGGATGGTATCCAACAAACAAACAAAAAAGTTTGCTAGCAGTCCCTTGCTTCAAGCCAGTTTCTCCCTAATTCTCTGTATCTTTCAATTGCTTTTGAAGCAAGAAATGTAAGTCTTCCTTCTACCTACTGCTTGCTTTACTTATTTCCATTAAAGGATTTTCAGGGCAGGGAGTACCTGTTACTATATTCACATGCAATGTCTAGCATAACCACCCACATCTCTACTAAAATTGTGAGACAACAGCAAAAGCTAAAATCCAGGAAATGCACGGCTATTTCCTGTTCCAGCATACCCATTTATTATTTTTAAACCATAAATATTAAAAGCTTTAGATGAGACACACATAACATTTCAATGTAACTGTCTAACAGATAATCTATGTGTATTCAATTTTAACAAATTTTGAAACTTAATTTCATTATTTCAGATTTTGTGAGTGGATAAGAAATATTTTACTTTACAATACAGACAAATTTATTCCTCCAAAGAGAGAGGAATAACCAGTGATAAACAATGTGTTTTTCAAAATGGTTCCTGGGCTTGTAGTACTGCCTTGTGGACAAGAGAAAACCATTAAGTGGGGCCTTTCTTTACACATATATAATTCATCTCATAAACTAATAAAGTAAAAAAAGGAGATTCTACATACATCAGAAACCACTTATAGAATAAGAAACATAACCAAAACAGTTACTGAAACCAAACAACGTCTTAGGTAAAATATACGGATTTTGTTTGTTCTGGATTACAGCCGCTACTGCTTTGAAGTAGTTTCAGTGATCCAAGATGGAAAGATAATGTAGAAGTCAGACCCTAACAGGTCTCACAGGAGAATAGGTTATGTATTCTCGGGAAAGGCCGGACAGATCTAAACTTTTTCTACCTATACTCTGAGCTGGCTAAGCCTATACCAACTGTGGCCTGGAGGCTGGAGAGCTGCATTAGCAGCACTGCTCCCAGATTTTCTGGTGGTATTACTGAATATTAAGGTATTAAGACTGTTGCACTAAGCCTGTGCATATTCTAAAACTCAGAGGTCAGTTTTTCTCAGTAGGTCACAGTCTGTCAATAGGACAAAAGTATCATTTAGCAGAAGAAATATCACCTGTCATTATTTAAAACCATTTTGTTGTATTTCTTTTACCAAATGAGGTTTACTCTCACATGTTTTGCTGGCTTCATTTATTTGGTTTGATATTAGAGAAAAGAGCAGGGAGGGACAGAAGGAAAACATGGCCTATAGCAAGCACGCGGCCTTTCTGTACAGAAGAGATATGATTTTCAAACAAGTTTTGTCAGTGTCTATCTGCTTGTTTGTCAGTCAGAGACACATATGGTTGGAAATATGATGGTATGACAAGCAGGACCCCACTGCTACTGAAGCAAATATTATTTTGCTGCAGGTGATTTCCACTGCGGATAAGAGTGAACAGCCCTAGCAATAAAGCCGGTCAGCGAAGCTTCCCACCCACGACACCAACTATTTTCTGTGCAGTGTTAGAGGTAGCTAGTGCAGACTTAGGCACTCTTGATTACAGAGGATAAAAAATGAATGTAAAGGAAGACAAAACAAGAAAAAAATTCTTAATTAATTTAACACAAAGGGAGATGCAGCTGCCGATGAAGATTCAAACACTGACTGACTTTGGGATAGGAGATGCTCTCCTGGACCTAGGCATTTGATTTGGGTCAGTCTGGGAAGGAGCCAGGTATTTGGGCTTGTTCTCAATACAGGTATCTAATATGTGCCTGTAGCTAATGTTTTGTTAATGCAATAATAAAAAAATATTTTCTATAGTGGTATTTCTGCATATAGCATAGATGAATGACCATTAATAAAGTGGACTTTATTAGTTTCAAACAATGATAATCATATTCCTGTTGATATTATTTTCTATTCACTTGCTATAAGGAAGCAACTAAAATTTTAATTTGCCTAATGTACAAATCAGGCAGTAGAGTGTTTCTAATCATGTAAGAAATCAACCCAAATATCAGTAATCAATGTTGTCAAAACTTCTGTGTTTCACACATTCATAAACACCTCCTTTGTATTCTGACTAGAATATATTTATAAATACCCTAAAGACAGTTCTTTTTGTACAATCATTAAGGAACTCAAATATCATGTGCCAGGAGAAATAGTACATTAGAAACATCAAATACTTTAATATTAAATATTATAATGATTCAATTTATTTGAAACAGACAATGCAAAAATGTAAGTGGCCTTTCTCTCTGTTTATTAGCTTTTATTTTTATGGAACAACTGAGCAGAAAAGAACTAGTTTCCCTATTTCATCATATCTGTACCTGCAAATCACTATGATTTTATCCTCAGGTACTGTTTTGTACTTGTACTTGAAAAAAGTCTTTACCAACTCAAGTATGGTTACAGGCTGCTGCTATGTTATCTTAGCCTTTTTTGCAACATCATGGAATTAATCTGATGACCATCTTTTTAGGTTTAAATTCTGAAATATAACATTTGTATTTTGCACTTACTGATGTTTATTTCTAAGAAAACTAAATAACATAAGCCTAAGGAAGAATAAAATTTTACCTATTATTGACTGGCATTTTAATCAACGCAGTTCATTTCCATCTTTGATGGGCAGAAAACAAGACACATCATAGATTGTCTTGGGGGCCTTTTCATTCATGTAGGTAATGCCTCGTAAGGACAACTGACTGTTCATTAAAGAAATAGAGTGAAAAAGCAGACAGGAATGAATGACAGTGAGGGAATGCTTTATGAAAAGTTCCATGTACGGAAGGCAAAAAGAGCTATTTTAAAAATCTTAGTCAAAACAAAACAGAAAGGGTCTCAGCAGCTGCAAGAAATATTTTTAAATATTATATTCACTTTCATAAATTCTGTTTTTAATAAAGTTCACAATTCCATTAGCTTCTGGTTAAGTGATCCTGTCTTAGTGTATCTTTTTTAATAGGCATCACATTTTAGATATTAAATCACCGAATGATAAGGTTTAGTGGACAGAGAACTCCAGAAGTTATCCTGTTTCTAAGCATTGCATACAGCATACTGGCTTATAGCCCATGGTCCAGAGTATTTGGAAGAGTCTGATAGTTGCACAGTTTGGCTTTGTGTGCTCTAATGCCTCTAGTATGTTTTGTGGCTTTTTTTTCCTTAATTTATTTTTCATCTGTAATTGAAATTAGATACTTGTAGACATTTTTATGCTCCAGATCCTGATATGTGTAATTTCATGTTACAAAAATTCAATGCTTTTTGCCAGAAATTAGATAGCTAAAAGGACCACCTATCTATAGGCAGTGAAAGAGGAATGGTAGAGATAATCTTAGATTGAGTGCAAAATATCTGTTTCTGGCTCAGGATGAAGATAGCAATCTGTATGTATTCGGCCAACTCTCCTTTATCATATATGTATCAAATAGTATGGACATAGGTAATTATAGATTACCTTGACGGTTCATTTCAGTTGAACTTAAAGCTGTGGATTTGAAAGTACAATAAAGCTTAAAGTGAAGTTATGTTAGTTATTTTTACAGCAACCACATGAACCAGGTTTTGTCCTGTGCTTCTCCCTTGAAACAACACTTTGATAATGTTATGGGAAATTTCCTACAGATTCTCATTTTACTGTGTAACTCCCATACCATCGAAGGCATCAGCATATGGGGAATGTACCAGCTGCTGACAACAATGATCCCAGAGGAATGGAGAGATACAACCTTATAGCCATCTGTGTAAGCAGAAACACAGGAATAGCAAGCTAGCTGACTCAAGAAGAACCTGTATTCCACATGAAGTTAAGGTTTATGGGGCTGGAAAGTCTCAAAATACAAAACAGAGAAACCAAGGTTCTGATAGTAATCTTGAAAATAATAGCTATTTGGGCTTGCAAAATACAGTTAGCTGAGACAACTTAGCAGATGTAAATCCCCCTTACTGCCAAGTCCTGCTGAGCTAGACTTCATCCAGAATGTGCCATACCATCTTAGATATTGTACCAATATTTTTGAGCAATACGTTATATCAGGCCTTTCAATTCATCTTCTGAGCACGTGCTCTCCATCCCACCCTGCCTAGTACTGCACCACTGACAGGAACAACACTTTATGTAAAAAACTTCCAAGTGGAGTTGCTCATTATTAATTCAGACAGTTTTGAAGGTGAAAGCGAACAGCGTTTGGCAGCAAGAACTTTTAATGAGCCTGTCATGAAGGAATTCAGTCTGCAAAGACAAACTTATTTTGTAGTACACTTGCATGACTCCGTGCCTCTGCATTTCTGTCTTGTATGCTAAACATACAAATACCTTTTTAGATCCACTTCCCCACACTAATATGAGTTTTACTCATATCACAGTACAGCTTGTGTAATATGCCAAAATACTGGCAGCAGTAGAGGAGGATTTCTTGGATATCGCTGCT